TGAAGCATGAAATGAGATGTAACTTCTCTCTTTTAACTTTTAATGTCTTTGAAAGATTTTTTTTCTTTCCTTTTGAAAAAAGCGATTTGTCCAAAATTATTTGTAAGGTTAAATATAAAAATTATTAAATAATTATGTACTATCTTTATTGTTTTAATTTGAATATTCGTTGGAGTTTTCTTTTTAATTGTGATGTAGCAAATAAATGTGAAGCTATCTAATAACACCCGCCATATGTGATTTGTCAATCAGGCCAAAATTTTCGTTGAAAAGAATAGGGTTGAAATATGTGATTGACAATTTGAGATTATATGTGAGACGGTTATGAGTATAATATTCTTTTAATAGAAGGATAATACATAAATTTTATCTCATCATTTTATTTTAAAAATTTTCTTTTTCATTTTGCATTTTGTGGCAACTTACATGTGCATAGTTGGTATCTACGCAAGCCATGTAAAACAGATTATGAGTAAAGTGACTAATATTTAACTACTAAGGATTAGCAATTTTTTTTATAAACATAAATTTTTTTATAAAGCAATAAATTTATCACCTGAACAGAATGTCCCCTTTCTTTCTTTCTTTGTTTTTTTTTTTTTTGGTTTTGTTTTCTTGTCCTGCAACGGTGTCGGTTTTTTTATCTTTTCGTCTTTTCATTTTTTTAAACAAAATATTAGTAAATAGTTATTTTTAAAATTAAATTAAATTAAATAATTAAGTAATAATATCCAATGTCTTGATTTCATTTGGAAACAATAGCTAAATCATCCCTATGTATTTGTAATTTCGTCTTTTTAATTTTTCATCATACTTCATTTTTATTAATGACCTACCACTATCAAATCAACATAGTTGAAGAATTTACAAAATAATTTGGCGAAGTATATATAATAGGAATGTGAGACCCAACTATTCTAGGGTCACATACAAATATGAAAGCCATGTAATCAGTAACTTATTTGAATCATTGAATATAAAATTCAAATATGAAGAGAAACTAAAAATTAAATACCAGAAACTAAAAATTCTTGCCTTACCTTTAAAATAATATTTGGACAAAATATCATTTAGTATATAACTAAATTTTAGCTCTAAACTAAGATGGTTTGATATTAGAAGCTAATCCATCATAAGATGGTAAACCAAAATTTGAATTCTCGCTGAGAGAGGTGTTCATATTTAGTGTCTACTTCAAATAAGATTACTTCTAATAAGAGGATACTTGTGCCAAAAAAAAATGGGACTAAAATAAGTTTGGATCCACTATTTTTTTTGGAAAAATAACAAAGAAAAAAACTAGGTCGATGCAATTAACTGCACGAAGTTGGGGGGGTCTGTTTCTGTCTATGTGTGAATTTTTATTTAAAAAAATGATTAGTCAAAACCTCTTAAACTTAACAAATAATTAAATAATTATGATTCATCTTATTTTAATTTCAACACTGATTAATCAATCCTCTATTTGTTTATATTGATGAATCACACTATCGATAGTTCGATGATATGCACAAGCATCAAACGAGCCGTAAGGTATGGCCCATTTGAAATGCAGTGTATGACCTGATAGAATTTTGTTTTTGACGTCCTTTGTTTATTTGAAAACCGGGGAGAAATGATTAAAAAAAAAAAGACAGTAAAAATTACCAAATTTCAAATCAAGTATTTTCACAAAAAATGTATTATTATTTAAAAGTCAATTGCTGTCAAAGCCTGTTAAAATATTGTAAGAAATCATAATTTGAGATTTTGTAATTTTCACAATCTTTATTTATTATTCTCTCAAAACAAATTTATATTAATTTTTGTTTCTTATATTTATGTTGCTCGTGACATTTGGAGAGTCCCACCTCTGATCCTTAATACTACCCTCAGTCTTAATTATAAGATCTCTTTTATAATCTATTAGACAAAGTATAAAAGCTAATTGACTAATTTAAATAGATTAAAAAAATTTGCTAAATTAGTTATTCGTAATAAATAGGTGTCGTTTTTCTCAGAATACCTTTATTAATCAAGTATATTATCTAGAATTATCATTTGATAGAATATTTAACATATGTAACTATTACAAAGGCTACTTTGAAAAAATAATTAAGTATAAGAGATAAAATAAATTCAGATTTTATATTTAGGACCAAACTAAAAGACAAACTAACTCTTATATTAAAGATTGAAAATAGTATGTTACAATTTGGGTCTTACATCAAGCATATTTTTTCCTCAATTTGATTAAAATTTGTTTCTAAATTTTTCCCGGATTCAACCAGAAAGATGTGAAAACTCTTTCACATAAACATTGTAAGTTCTTTTCCAATAAACATTGTAAGTTCTTTTCCAATGGCTCCACGTAAAAGTTACTTTGACTTTTAATTTAATTCTAAATATAAAACCTCATTACGCTTTGTTTCTCATATTTATCTTTTTTTTTAAAGTAATTATTATGATAATAGTAATTCTAACTAATACACTTGATTAACAAAAATATTTTAGAAAAGTCAATACCTATTTATTACAAATAATTAACTGAACTATTTTTTTAACCTACTCAAATTAGTTAATTAACTCTTATATTAAGAACCAGAAGTAATACTAAACACAAGAAACATTTTACCTTTTATTTTGGAAAAATTACCAGTCCCACATAAGCAATTAATCACTAAAAATCCCATAAATGAACAGCATAACAAGGACATGATCTGATACAGGGAATGATAAGGGCAAATCCGGGATAAACCCCCATTTGACAAGTTATTTGTAAAATGAGATCCAGACTTTTGTAAAGGTTTAAGGTCCATTTGGAGAATTAAAAACGGATTTAAAAATACTAAAATACCCTTAATAAAATGCCTAAAAAAAGGAAGTCGATAAAAATTGAAAACACAGGCACAAAATCACAACCGATCGAATGTGAAGACTGAACATGTACAAATAGAGCAGAGCAAGAAACAACAGTGGCGCGAGGAGGAAGGAGAGTAATTGGGGACCGCGACACATGGAAGGAGGAGAGTGATCAGTGACGGTGGATGAGGGTGGGTTGTTCGATTAAGATAGTAGAGGTAGTTGGGGCCGACAAAGTTATCGTCTATGCAATCAAGTTCACTATATAACAAAAATTATACATATACAACAAGAATCAAGTACATGCTACTAGGATCAACGATATGCACTTACAATCTTTACTCTTTAGTATACAATCAAGTCTATGCAATCAAGTTCACTATACAACTAAAATTATGCATATGCAACTAGGATCAAGTACATGCTACTGGGATTAACGATATGCACTTACAATCCTTAGTATACAATCAAGTCTATTAAGCAACTAAAAATATTACCATGCAACTAAGATCAAGCATATGCATATGAGGATCATAGATATGCACTTACCATCCTTAGTATGCAGTCAAGTTCCATATGCAACTAAAAATATGCTTATGCAATTAGGATCAAGCATATGCAAGTGGGGATCAACAATATGCACTTAGAATCCTTAGTATAAAATCAAATCTAGTATGCAACTAAAAATATGCGATGCAACTAGGATCAACGATATGTATTTACCATTCTTAGCACGCAGTCAAGTCCTGTATGTAAACAAATATGAATATGTAAGTGGAAAAATCAACGATATGCACTTAGAATCTTTAACACGTAGTCAAATCCAGTATGCAACTAAAAATATGCACATGCAACTAAGATCTAACATCTGCAACTAGGATCAGGTATATACAAATGGAGATCAACGATATGCACTTCCAATCTTTGGTATATAGTAAAGTCTCGTATGCAAATAAAAATACGCATATGCAATTAAGATCAAGTATATTCAAGTGGGGATCAATAATATACACTTAGGATCCTTAGTATGCAGTCAAGTCCAGTATGCAACTAAAAATATGCGTCTGCAACTAAGATCAAGCTTATGCAATTTCTAAACACCTAGTATAGTTAGGATCAATGTTAAATAAACCGAAGTTTACAATATCCTTTACTAGTAAACACTCAGTATAGCTAGGATCAATGAGTTCACTCAATTTTCAAACACGTTGGTATAATGCCAAACCAAGGTAAGATAAAAGCTTATTCTTTCAAAAAATTAAACCAAAGCCCAATTCTTGATGCCCCTTCAAAATCTACTGTCCTAAAACTATATTACGATAAAAGCTTTCAAATTAAACAACATATTTGAAGATGACATTTTCCTTCACAGTTTCACAAAGTACATTATGTCAATATCATAAAGTGCATCTGCTTATACAATAACGATGACTATATAATCAATAGGAGGATAATGGAAGGAGGAGGAAAAGCTACTGAAGCCAGAAGTGTATTAAAGAGTTTTTTACCCACATACAAAGCAACAAAGAAAGCTAAGTCAATAATGAATATTACTATAATCACCTCCACCAAACACTGAAATCCGTAGAAGGTATTGACACAAGTTACCTTCTTAGCCTTCACCAACGGACTAGTGCTCCAGTAGAACCCTCAACGATTGTGGATGCAGAGGAGGACGTGGGGAGGAGAAAACTTTTACATGGGATACGTTTTTTTTCTTTCTGATTTTCCCTCTTTCTCATCTATTAAGCATTAAGGGTAATTTGGTTTTTTTACCCCTTAAACTTATTGCCACCTAGGGACCTCACACTTCTACAAAAATTCAAGTCCCATTCTACGAATAACTTGTCAAATGGGGATTTATCCCCAATTTTCCCAAATGATAACATAACACAGTATATTTACAACTTGAGACTTTTTATTAATTAGATTGCTTATACGGGATTACACAGCAATTTTCCCTTTTATTTCCTCTTTCCTCAAATCCCTTCTGCATAAACTAAATGGCCCAAAAAAAAAAAAAAACACTAAACACTGCATCAAGCGTCAAGGAACAGTTGATTCCTCTTTTCAGGACATCTTACAAGAGTAAAATCCCACAAAACTATGAAGCAGCATATAAGTTAAACCACACAAGAACACCAAAACTTTGACAAGCATTTTACGTGGGCAACAGAATTGATTAATTAAAAAGTTGAAATCAGAGAATAAAAAATATTTCCATTAAAACCATGTACAATGTACAAAGAATAAACAAAAATTAAAAAAAATAAAATAAAAACAAACAAGATGCTAGCGTCAGTCTACTCAACCTCCATAGCAGAATTTGCTTCATCTAAAATACTCTGTAGCTCCTTTACTCGTTGCCTGGTCAATGCCACACAATCCTGAAACCACACCAATAACAATCACCATTAACTCCTATGCCTACAAATTTATCAAGTATCATATATTTAATGGGTACTTACAATTTAATGGCCTAAATGAACATCTATGATGACTTGTAAAGGAAACTATACACTTACATTATATCAGAAATCTTTTATATCAATTAATTCTAAAGGCTAATTACTTTTGGTGATTAGTTGTGGCGCTATATAACTTTCGACAACTTCAGATCTTCTTTGTCATATTCCAATCTTAAGGACAAAAGAAGATGCAATTAGCAGTGTTCACAATGCAAAATACTCCATGCTCTTAGATATGATTAACTTCCATAGGATGACAGCTTGTTATTGGTGACATCCAAAACATAATGGGCGGTTCACATAACATTGGTTCATCAATGCCATATGAAATTTTAGTTTCTTGAAACAAAGGGCAAACAAACCTGAATAGCTGGCGTATAAGCAAGAACTGATCCACCAGGCTTGTAAAGAGATATAAGTTGACTTGATGAATCCAAAACTATGGTCACCTGAGTTTCCATGATGGATTCTTCTTCTGCAGTAGGGTCTGCCAAGATGTAGTTCTTGTAAAGTATGCATGTTAATGAGAATGGAATGCTTCTTAATGTAAGCTTCCTCTTTTCCTTATTCATTGGCTCTTGTTCCAACTTTTCTCCTCCTTCCTCAGACATCAGCACTATTTTGCCATCATCATTCATGGTAACAGCAGGAATTTGCACTGCCAGCCACGGAAACATGTATAAGATACATCACAGCTAAGCTAATAATACAAGTATATTTAATTGGCAGTTTACTGTACGAATGCCCACAGTAATACAAGAATTCTGCAGGAACAAAGTAGAAAAGACACAGTGTGGTCTAACTTCTGAAAGACTTACAACATGACTGAATAACAAAGAAGTTACAACGCTTACAATGAGAAAAGGCAGCAGTTGCTGAAAGTAGAGCAGCATCAAAAACAGCACCATCAGCATCCAAACAGTAAACATCCTGTATGATAAAGATGGCTACCTTTGTCACTCAACCATGGTCATCCAAACAATAAATATCAAGGGCTTACCAAGTATGCCATCCATGCAGCTTTTCCACCGACTAAGGACAATTCTTTCAGATCAACCATTCCAGAGCTACAAAAATAAAATGTTGATGAGAACAAATGAGGCGATTTTAACAGGAATCCAATTTGTCAGATAAGAAGAATGGCCTAAATTAATAAATATTGTCATCGATCCCAAACAAAATAACAAAAGACCAACACAATAAGATTTAAAAAAACGCAATCATGCTGGGGATGGCAGTGGGATAGACCTAGATGGGACAAGAAATCTCTATAGTCTATACATTGACTTGAGAAAAGAAATTTGATGCATTTAAGAATTACAAGGCTAGCACAACAGACCAACGTATAGATGGTACAACATAGCTGACAGATTGAATCAGTTATGACAAGATTGTGAAATCCTGATGCAATCCTATATACATTTGTGCTCCTGTTCTCCAAACAATTAGTACTGAAAAAATAATTAGTAAGTTTCAAGATCAATGTATGAGAACATGCGTCATGTGGGAATCATTAAAAAATTATTGAAAGAGGATATAATTAGGAAAGATCAAATTATATGCGACCCAGAGATGCATTGGCATCTGAAACATGAACAGAAAAGATCCAAAACATCTAGAAATTAAGCCTGCTTCTTCATTCCATCCATTGTCAATCAAGGTAAAGACCATAGACTCTAATAGAGAACATCAAAACTTCACAACTTTATTAAAGCAGGTATAGCACTCTTATAATTAAGTTGCGAGTTTCTCACATACCAGCACATAACACAGATTGTATTAATTTATTGACAATAATATGTTAATATTTGTTTATTGCCTGTCTCAGTAACTAATTAAAACAGAAGACTCTCACATAAGTTATTCATGCAAGCGATAATAATTAAAATTAATCATACATTTTTCACCAAAAACAAAATATATCAAAGGATGTACCAAAGGGCAGACAAAACCACTATCAATATCAGTGGGAAAATATTTGCAACAAGTACACAATGCATAAAAGAGTGGTCAAGATATGGTTACAACTGTGGAAAAAGCTTTTCTTTAAGTAGAAAAGTTTTCCTCATATTTTCTTGTTATTTTAGACACAAAAAAGGAGGGAAAGATAGACTTTGTAACTGGTAAACTCCTGCAGAATCCAAATTAACCAAACACAACAAAGTGACAGACCATAATTACAAACAAGCCTAGAGCACTTTCAAAATGAGAAGACTTGCCTTGAAATAGTGTCAGACAACTGCTTTGACACAACTGGTGCTACCTCAGCTGGCCTGCCTGGCCTAACTATAGGGGAACAAATTGGAGGCATGTGGAAATCAATGGCTGAAATGACAGAAATTGGCACACATAAGTCAATGAGAACAGGGCAAAAAATTTTCAAGCTGTGCAGCGCCAGCAAATGACAGCCTACCTATACAGCCCTCATCTGGTGACTCCAAGGTGGGAGTCATAACTTCCATTTTAATAGCAGCCAACATAGTCTGTGTAACGAATGAATTATGTGATTAAAGCACATTCAACCATAAAAATGATAACCTCAATATACAAAGACATTGAAAGCAATAGAGACAGAGTGACTAACAGTTGACCCGATCTTAACAAGGGCTGATCCATTAGCAGATGCAACAGCCCCTGATGAAGTTAACAGCCTCAGCTTTGTTAAAAACATGAAGTAAGCACCAAACAAAAGACTAAGATTTTGCAGATCGTGAGTAAACGAAGGAAGCAGCTAACCAAGAGCTATAGTTGTATCTCTAGCCCTTCCAAGTGCTCTGCCATCAGGCCGGATAGATTCAACAAGATGACGCTCATAATACCGTAATGGAAAGAGGCGTCTGAATGCATCGACCTCCATTTCTGTTGACAAGTCTTCGGACGCATTTGGCAAAACCATGTTCTTTTTGGTATTAAAAGTTACTAGTTAACAGAAAACCAAAAGCGAATTAAAAAAAAAAAAAAACCATAGTCCATAGATAAACTGAAAAGTGCAACTGAAAGTGGTATGAAAATAGTGAAATAAACTAGGGATTATAATGGATTTGATCTAGGTCTGAATCTCACTGAACCAACCAAACCCAATCATTAACATTTGATTATGCAACTTAACTCATGAAGCATATCAAATCAAGAATATTCAAACCTGTGCTGATCTGTATTCTGGTTCCTAAAGCAGGAAGATCAATATAGAATACAAACCATTGCCAAGTTGATAAGGGAAGTGGCAATCAAAGAGGAATACACGCAACTTCATATTAACATATACAAATTCAATCCAAAGATAAATTTATTGACAAAATATAAATCATGTTTCCAAATGCTTGACTGATGTGATTCACATATATTTAAGAGCATAAGCTTGAAAATCCCCTGATTACAATTCCCAAAAAGCTCCCCAAGCAAATGAATATAAATGCCCTCCTTTCCAGCAAAACTGGAAATCTTAGAGAAGCAGGCTACACAATGCCAAACAACAATGTAGCAATTACAATTGCTAATATAGACGTCAAGACCTTAATAGTTAATACAAACCGGTGAAGAAAAACTTGGCAGTTGGAGCCAAAAAAAAAAAAAAATTGCATTACTGCAAGAATATCAACATGATTGTTTACAGAAGACAAAAATGCCAGCAAGATTAAAGTCCATGTTTTCCAGGGACTGGAGTTGAGCAAATTACTTCACATATTTTTATCAATGTACCACTAACTGGTCCTCTATTCACAAATAAACTAACCTGAATTTAAGCATTCCCAATTCTACCATAACAAATTGCACTGTCATAAGAACAACGCACTAAATCGGGAAACTAACAAAACTAAGAGTTCTTTAACATCAGCACCAGTATGAGCATAAGCACGCCATTCACAAGATTATCACCATGTATTACTGTCAATATCGCAGCAACAATTGCTTGAACATATAAGTAGACCAAAATTATTCAAAGCCAACCATTTCAATTACACGGTCATAATATTTAAGAGGCTCCGAATAGCATTCCTTTCAATTAAAAATACAAAAACAAAAAAACAAAAATTGCGTCAGTGAACCAACCGGTAGAAGGACAGCGAAAGTGAACAACGAGAGACAGAGATGCAGACACAGACACCAACGGTGACGAGAGGCAGAGGCAGCAGTGTCGGGTGAGTGAGGTCAAGTGAGGTGAGGTCGTGACGCGAGGAGTTGGAGACCAAGAGGGAGAGAGGCAGAGAAGGTGGAGGAGGCCAGAAGGGTCGAGCTCGAGGGAGGCTGGTAGGTTAAAAGGGAGGTGGGTCGTCAAAATGCGATCAGTTATCTACGCCGCTGTAAAGAAATTGGAAATATGTTATTCGTAAACGCCAGGCGGTTTCTTTTTGAACTAGTTAATACCAGTATAACCTTTTTCTCCTTCTACCTCGTGTAATTCTGAGTAGATTAAAAAAATAAATAAATTTAATTATTTATAATAAATAAATATTATTTTTTATAAAATATTATTATTAATTAAGTTTATTGGCTAAAACTATCACTATTAGAAAAACTATCTTAGAAAAATAAATAAATATAGAAAATAAAGAAGATTAAGGTCTTATATTTAGGATCAAAATAAAAATCAAACAAGATTTTATATTAAGAATTGAAGGTAGTATTGTCTTTTATTTTAGTTGTTAAAGTTTTAAGAGATAATTAATACGTAAGTTCTTATAGTTTCAACTAATTTTTAATCAAGTCCTTATAATTTTTTTCTTTTTAATAGGTCCTTATAATTTTACATGTTTTTAACCATGTCCTTATAATTTTTTTATCAGGTTTTTATTGTTTTACCTTATTTTTAATTATATCCTTATAGTTTTTATTCTTTATTCTATAAATAATATATTATTATAATAATCTTCTATTTAAATTTTTAGTTAAATATATATATTATTTATTTTTCAATTCTAATTTTTATAATTATAAAATTCAAATTATAATAATAAAGTTTTATAAAAATAGAATATAATTGTAAATAATTTATAGTTTAGTATAATTGATTATTTTGATTAATTATTAATTACCAATTGATTATATTAATTATTTTGTCAAATCATATAATTATTAATTTAAAAATGAAATTAATCTTAAAGAATAAATTTAATAAAAAAGTTTTAAAACTACAAAGGATCTAATTAAAATATAAGTGAAATTATAAGGACCCGATAAAAAAAAATAGAAGGACCTAATTAAGAACACCTGAAAGTAAAAAAATCTAAGAAAAAAATTTTATAAGGACCTGATTATAAATCAAATAAAACTATAAGGATCCGGAGATTAATTATCCCAAATTTTAAATTATAAATTTTGGTTCTTAAAAAATAAAATAGTCTAGATATTTATTAAATTATAAAAGCTAATATTTTAAATAAAACCAAAATTTTACCATTTATTTATAAATGTTATGCTAGTAATTCACAAAAAGTGATCCTAGTACTATTTATAAATTATAAATATTACTCTCCTTGTTTTAGGAGAAAAAAATATTGTCTATGAATATACAATTTCACTTTTTTATTAGTATATTAATTCTGTTTTTATGCGATATAATATATATTAAGTAAAGATAAAATTAAAAAGTTCTTAAATTTTTTTTTTTTTGATAAGGACAGGTAAAAACAAAACTAGCTACCTAAACAGGTTCTAGCTCCGTGCGAGCCACAGCCACTATTTCCATGAACTACGTAGTGCAGTTGCTTAGGGAGGCCACTGAAGATTTCCAGCGTTGAGTCCATCGAACAGGCATACTTTACTAAGGCATCTGCAGCAAAGTTCCCTCTCTCACAAATAGAAAGCTCAACCGTCCACTCACGTTTGAGCACCGTCTGAATTTTGAGCACAATATTGAAGTCAGGATGTTCCTCCGCAACGCCCAATATCACTGCATTCACTGCTTCAACACAATCACCTTCTACATCCAGTTCCCTGAAACCGTGGTCCCAAGCAACCTTTAAGGCCCAAAGGATGCTCCAGGTCTCAGTTGAGAGACTGGATTCGAGAGGTACTTTGTACATGAAGCCACAAAAAACCTCACCATCATGATTTCTCAAGAGACCGCCACACCCCCGAGAGTTTGACCAGCCATCAAAGAAGCCGTCAACATTGAATTTTACCCTCTCTTCTTCCGGTGGCTCCCAACACATCGAAGGCACTGGGCTTGAAGGTCGTAGGGCGGGATGACTCCAAGCAAGATACGCACGTGATCGCGCCAGAATTACCTGGGGGTCCTATGCAATGCCCTGAAATATTTTGTTATTTCTGTCTAGCCATATATTCCGACAGATGACTGCGAACCACTGTCTCCACTCAAAGTCTTCCAACCTTACAGCTATGGCAATATTTGTCTTAATCTATTCCTTCACATCGTGAGCGTAAAAAAACGAGTAGACCACTTTTGGGGAATACAAAGCTCCCACACCTTTTTGGCCTTTGCACAGTCTCGGAGAGCATGGACTGATGTCTCTAAGCCTAAACCACAAAGTTCACAGGTGCCTGAGTCATGCAGACCCTTCCTCATACAGGATATATTTGTTAGTAGGCGATCGTGAGCTCCTAACCAAAGAAAAGAGCAACAACGTTGGGGCACTCTGAGTTTCCATAGATGGCACCAAATTGGTTGTGAACCACCTTGCCCATTCCCTTTTAGAAGATGATAAGCAAATTTCAAGTTAAAAGAACCATCCGATGAAGGTCTCCATATAGGAATATCACACATGGACAGTATAGGTACATTAGTTCCTGCAATAATCCCTCGTGTTGCTTCGGGAAGGTATGTCTCTAGTTTTGACTAGTCCCATCCTCCAGAAACAAAAACCACATCAGCAACTTTCTATTACCTAACTTCTTTGGGTATTACACAGCAAGCGTGATCTTCTAGTTTGTCACCCTGTAGGAGCCACCGATCAGTCCAGAAGTTGGCTAAGTGACCAGAACCTAACTTGAGTCCCACACCATTCTTCATGTGCTTCCAATTTGAACAAATGCCAACCCAAGTTCTCGAGTTGCTATTTCTTTTTTCCACCGTGGGTATAACGTCATGACCACATTTATATTTCTCCCGTAGGAATCTAACCCATAGCGTCACGCCTTTTAATAAGTCCCCATCCAAGCTTAACCATGTAAGCTTGGTTTTGATTTCTTGCAGACCAAAGACCCAAACCACCCTCAATTTTACTACGGCACAACTTCTCCCAGGATAGCAAGTGAGGTCGTCTACTAGGCCCAACATTTCCCCAGAGGAAAGTTCTACATTTTTTTATCAATTTCCTCACAAGTAGTAATAGGGAGGGGGTGGTTTGCATGGCATAAGTCGGAATACTAAACACCACAGTTGAAACTAACATATGTCTAACCGCAAGTGAGAGAGAGTTAGCTTTCCAACCAAATAGACAGGACTCCATCTTGTCTAAGATGAACTGAAAGTTACTCTTCGAGACTCTCTCATGAAACAAAGATATGCCCAGGTATCGTCCCAGATTAGAGGTAGGCTGGAAACCTAGAAAATCACTCACTTCTTTGCTTCTAACATGACCAACCCTCTTGGCGAAGTAAATCCTTGTTTTTTGAGGATTGACTTTTTGCCCCGAGAAAAAATTAAAGTCATCAAGAATAGCCTTTATAAGGCCTGTCTGCTCCATGTCTGCCTCAGCAAATAAAAGAATATCATCAACAAAAAGTATGTGAGAAATAGGAGTACCTCTTTTTTGAAGTTTAAAGGGACGCCATTCCATTTGGTCTACTGCACTAACTCTAAATAAGATGTCCCAATTTCTCTATAGCAAGAATAAAAAGGTAAGGGGAGAGGGGATCCCCTTGTCGGACACCACGGATAGGTGAGAATTCATTGGCTCTTTCTCCATTCCAAATTAATCTCATGGACGGGCTCGAAACACAAGCCTCGATAACCTCTCTTATGATTTGCGGGAATTGAAGTTCTTTTAAATAGTCAAAGATACAGCTCCATTGGACTTTGTCGTAAGCTTTTCCTTGATTAATCTTGATGGCCATAAGACCTTTCAAATATTTGCTAGTTTTCATACTATGGATTATTTCCTAGGCAAGGATAATGTTATCGGTATCTACCCTTCACAAAGTTGCACTGATTTGGCACAATAATTTTTGGCGTGAGATCTTTGAGTCTATTCATAATTATCTTCATCACAATCTTGTAGATAACATTACGTAGACTGATTGGCCGGAAGTCTAGAATGGTTTGGGGTTAGTCAACTTTTGGAATTAGAACTATCTGTGTGTCATTAATGGACTTGATAGTTGAAGGATCTTGGAAGACTTCATATACTCGATTCATTACTTTGCTTCCTACTGTGTCCCATTGACTTTAGTAGAACAGTGGGTTAAAGCCATCCGGTCCTGGGGCTTTAAGTGGGCTCATATCAAACAAAGCACCTTTGATCTCATCATTTGTAACATTCCTCCTAGGCGATGTAAGTCTTCAGCCTCCATAGTCGGGAATCCCACCTCAAAAATTAACAGTTGTTGGGATCTGTCCTCTTTTGTAAAGAGAGTCTCAAAGAAATTGGTGCCTGTATTCATAATAGCCTTTGGATCATACGATCACTCACCAGATTCTAACTTGAGAGCTTCAATTTTATTTCTTTTGCGTTGAAAACTTGCCACCATATGAAAATAACGAGTATTGCGGTCTCCATGGTGATACCAATTACATTGTGATTTTTGGAGCCATATAACTTCTTCTTGAGCTAGAACCTCTTCAAGTTGCACTCACACCTCTTTACGAATTTCCTCTAGCGCAACAGAGCTCCCCTCCTTGTTTATTTTCCTGTCAAGCCCCTCTAGTCTTCTATGCAAGTGTGCCTTTTTCCGGTTTATATTTCTGAAAACATCATGGTTCCATTGACGGAGTTTCCCTATGGATTCTGATATACTGTTGTTCCAGTCTCCTTGATGTTGCTAGTTATTCTTCACGAAGTGAGCAAAGTTTTCATGCATAACCCAAGGTGTAAAGAATCAAAATGGTCTGTTGGGGTTTTTCGTCCTCAACTCCAGATGTAAAGATAATAGGGTAGTAATCTGACTTATACATCGGTTAGTGCAAAACAGAAGCATTTAGATAAGCTTGGTGCCATCTACTGTTAACTAGAACTCGGTTAATGCGATTAAAGGTGGATCCCCTATGCCAAGTAAACTTTAGTCCACTAAATCCAATATCCATCATGTCACCATCTGCAACCCATCTTCGAAATGCAGGCTCCAGGCCTCTGCTATGTTGTGAATATGAAAACCAGTCCCCATGTAGAAGAGTGGCATTGAAGTCTCTCGCTACCACCCATCTTCCAACTATGGAGTTGCACAAACCGGTTAGTTCTTACCATAGATATCGTCGCTTGCTAAAGGTTGGGTCGCCATATATAATGGTTAAGGCCCATTTGTCCCTTCTGCCTTTGTTCAAGATACCATGAATAAGGTAATCATTTTTGTGTTCAATGCTAAAGTCGAAGGTGTCCTGCCAAAACAACTATATACCACCACTGAACCCCCTAGCTTCCACCATATCCAAATTTCTCCATTGAAGACAGCGTGCTATATCCTGAGCTTTTGTAGACTGTTGCCGGGGCTCCAAAAGAGCAAGAAAGGTCACCTCGTGTCATTTGTGAAGGTCACACAAAAGCTGATTAAAGGCTCGACTTCCTACACCACGTGAGTTCCATATCATGATTTTACTATCCATAAAACCAGTATAGGGGAAGATGGGAGCACAGACATCATGGGGACCACTCAACAAGTCATGGTGGAACTAGCCCTCACCTCATGTTTATCAATCGTATCTGTCATGCCCTCTGACAAAGGGTTCGAGGGAATAAGGAAGCCTGGTTCTATTCCTGGTTCAGGATCCAATAGGTCGCCAGTTCTCGGGTTCACAGACGTTGTTGCTGGATTGTGGCCATGCAACACTTCCGTAGGCTTTGTCACAATTGCAGTGGTGGTAGGGATTCAACTACAAAGTCCATCTCCTCGTTTGGTTGCCCAAGCCCACTAATTGACTGGCGCTTATCCAGGCCCCTTTGGTTCCTAATCCTTGTCTACTCCTCCATTGGGCTTACTTCCCCTATCCCACGACCCACTTCTCTCTCTCTACAATCTGATCAGATACGCAGACCACTCTTGTTGTCACCAACCTGCCCACGTGCTTTTCCTCCTTTAGTTCGGTTATTAGACTCCGAAGGAATATTCTGTACTATCATTTCCTTATTAACTACCTGATTTCTTCCTACTAGCTTACCAGAATCTTCAACCGTTAAAGCTAAAAATCGTGACCCCTTAACGCCCTTATTCTTGGAATCATTAATTTCTGGCTTCTCAGCTCTCCCCTGATTTGGTGCCCTAAATATTCTATGGTTATTGCACCTCGAAGGTCAGACCATCCACCCCCTGTACATCGAATCTTCTCCCTGTTCTGACGTTGCTGGAATTGCTATCGGTGATGGTTGCTAGTTCATAGTGTTGGAAGGACAATGGTCCAGATCATAGCCATACTTCCCACATTTAAAGCATATAAGGTGCAAGCCTTCATAGACAACTTTCTTCTCCTTACCATTAATCAAGATCACTAGTACCAGAGGGCTTCTCAAGTCGAGTTCTACACAAAGTCGAGTGAAGCGTGCTTTTGACCAATGTAACGTGTTCGTATCTACTCTAAGCACTCTCCTAATCTGACTACCCACCACGAATAAGATCCCTTGGTCATAATAATCCATAGGGAACTTTGGTATCCTCACCCATGCTGCGATCCTTGATACTTCTTCCTTATTTGGATCAAAGTCCAGCTTTCCTGGTTGAACCATAAGGTAGTGGTCCAAGATGAGCCACGTGCCTTCCGTTAATGCATATTCATAGTCATCTTCATGCGTAAAGTTGACAATAAAATATCCCGATCCAAACTCTAACATTTCCACACTACCTTTGCTTGCCCAAAGCTTCTTTAGTTTTTGACCCAGATAATCCTCTCTGACCATTTGACCCAATAGTCTAACAATCAACGTGAGTCTCCATTTTTTCTCAAGCTTCCTTTGAAACTCAGGCAGTACAATGATGTTCGGGCCTCTAGGTGTTTGTTCTACTTGTAGTTTGTTCTTCCAACCTTCCCCAAGCCACCAACCGAACTCTTCTTCCTCATCCCTTATAGAAACCCAATCAGCTGCGTAGGCCTGCGAGTACGTCTTCTTTGGCTGTTCCGGCATTCCAGAGTCCACATCATCCGTCATCTAGTCTTCCTCATGGGGAATAGCACCACCATCGTTGCCAATAGTCGCTTCCCTTATTCGAACCTTCTTTTGGCTTCATTCCAGGGTATCAGTTTCTTCCCGGGACGACACAGCCGTACTCTCTCCATTCGCACCCGCGCCCTCCATCTATATTGAATCAAAGTTAATGTCTGCTGTATATGTCATCAGTAATTTTTTCAAGTAGAAACGCCGCTCGTAAAGTTCTTAAATTTTATCACATCCAATGCTTTATATAAATACTAGTTGATTAATTTAATTAAATTAAAAAATTAGTTAAATTAGTTATTTATAATAAATAGATATTATTTTTTGTAAAATATTTTTACTAACCAAATGTCATTTGATGAAATATTTAACATGTACAATTACTACATGAATTACTTTGAAAAAAATAGATAAGTATAAGAAATAAAATGGATTATGGTCTTATATTTAGAACCAAATTGAAATTCAAACTGGCTCTTATATTAAGGACCGGAGGTAGTATTATAAAATTAATAAAATTTGATATTTTTCTTGCACTTTTAAATAGAATTAGATGTGTGATTCATTTAGAATTATTAATATTGTTGGCAAAAAAATTGGGAGTTTTTAATAAGTTTTGACAATTAGAATTATTAATATCATTGGCAAAAAAAATTATTGCTTCTTATTCTATTTATAAGACCTTATTTATAGTTTATAAATGAGATTTTATAATTTAGATAAAAACCATTATAAATATTGAAAATTGGGGAAAACGGTACTTAAGACCGAACTTCTTGATGATGATAATCCAAGTCAGTTAGAGGGAGGCCAAGTGGTTCCTGCTGTTTTCGGCTGCGCGAACTTGCGCAGTGACCGGTGAGACGCTCAGGCTCCGCCATGCTCTTCACTCTCTGAGTACCCAATCGCGATGTTTGCCACGACCGCGTTTCCCTCCGTCTACACCTTCCGGTTTGCCACCATAAGACCATCCGAATCCAGTTCAACCAATTCTTTTCCTCTGAAGCTCAGAGCATCGCTCAATGACTATCCGCTCGCAAGTAAAATTGTGGTTAAAAGTATGCGATGTTTCTTCATCTTATTATGCTTACCTCTTTTCTAATTCATTTATGCCCATCTCTGCTTTAGCTTTCATGGAACTATGTTGACTGAGTACTTGCCAGTTTGTACGATTGAAAACGGAGATTTTTTATTTTATTCAATCGTTCATAGAGTGTGTCAAGTTTATGGGTATACATTTTTTTTTCTTTTTGGTAGCGTATATAGGCTGCTGAATGTGGGAGGGTTTTGTTTGGGAACTAAACAAGGAAATAGCCAAATTGATGTAATCAATAAAATGATAAAAGTCGATCTGAGCTGACCTAATTGAAACCTTGTATGGGGATTTTCTTAGGGACGTGTACCTTAAACTATGTTGGAGTTGCAGCAAACAATCAATCAGAGGTTTATTGCTGACAGTGTCTCTGAAATCGTTGTCGACTGATTTGAGGTATTAGCATAGATAGATATATGCAATCGGTATCTTCATTCGCAAATATGTTGGAAACCTGCACTCAGTCCAAAGAAAGAATACGCAGCTTTAACTGGAAATAACTACATAAATACATATACTTGAACTCTATTTTGTTTGATCATATGTTTAATGGTGGTTGCCATTTTTTTCTTTTTTGGGGATTACGATGCATGAATATATGGTTTTATTATGTGCCTTTTATATTTCAGCATATATTTTGGCCAAGAAAAAATATAGGAGAACCCATAGATTTCTAGAATGCAATAAGATATTATAAACTACCTGTTGTTATCCCATGTATTTATACTTTGTTCCGTACAAAAATGAGCCTCTTTCTCTCAATTACTGATTTAATCTGGATTTGACTGATGTGCTGGCTGACATCGACCTTCCGGAAGCATCTGCTTCTTCCTTACCATACTGCCTCATAAACGACCATATCTAGTGCAAGAAATTGTTTTTGACTAAAATATCCACCTCTTCTCTGGCTGCATTGCAAGATATATTCATCACCTGAAACATCAATGGATACAATTATGTTGAAATTAGAAATTAGTTTTATTAATTTTCCGCCTCTTTTTCTGATGGATTACTGGGCGGACATTCTTCTATAGTCCTTCAGTATTAGTATTCTGTTCATACAATCGTACTAATATATTTTTTGTGCCAGATTTACCATATTCTACTGGTGAGACTATTCTCAAGAAGGAATTTTCAAACTTTGGTGAGATAGCTGAAGGTAGTCTTGAGTTTTCATACCACACTACCAATTTCCAGTACTTTTAACGTGCATCTCTTGAGTCATGCTATTTACGTTTTTTTGGCAGTTAAAGTTGTTAAAGATACCACCGAAAAATCTAAGGGATATGCCTTTATTCAGTACACTTGTCAAGATGATGCAATGCTTGCACTAGAAAACATGGATCAAAAGGTTCAATTTTCTTACTATTCTTCCTTCTTTTATCTTATTAAATCTTGAAAACTTGGTATGCATATGGTCTCTTAAGAATAGTCAATTAACTATTTTTTTTTCCTGTTTTTAATTCTTAAAATCCATTTTACTTCACCAATTTTTCATGATGATTTGAACCTCTGAAATACTCTATTTAAGCAATGACTAATGAGGTTCGCTATGCATATCCAATCAGTGAATGGAAGGGACTTGTGCAGAATCAATGCTTACTACAAGAAGAAAAAACATGAGAAAGAAAAGGGGTTGTCTATTTTTCAAGACAGTAGAGGCTCTTCTAATTCAAATGACTCTCTTTTTTGCCTTTTATTGCTTCCTCCCACCAATATGTATAATGGCTCCCTTTAACTTAATTTTCTGATTTTCACTTCTCTTGTAATATTGTATAAAAATGCCCAAGTCATCTTATGAAGCGCTGAAAACTCTATCAATCCCATTTTCTGTTCTCACTGATTGTGAAAATAAGAAACAGAGGAAAAGGAATCAAACAAGCTCTCATATGTTCTGGCCTTTATCTCTATAGGCATTTGATGGTCGGAAAATATATGTAGAAATTGCAAAACCTGGGAAGGATGCTTTTCGTGGCCACCCAAAGACCTCAGGGCCCCCTAAGAAGTGGCATCAGCCAGATCAAGAGGAAGTGGTGGATTGCTGGTACTGATCAAAAATAGAAATGATGCAAGAGTAAGTTATGAAACCACTACTTGATTAGTTGTTATGATTATAGTAACTACTTAGAGGTAGTGACTCTAAAAACTTGTTTTTATGTAATCGAGAATGATCTGTCTTGATTCAAAAGGTTATTGTATGCATTAGATACCATTGATATTCATAGGTAAATATCCTTGTGCTTGATAGATTATTCAATAACACGTACGCAATCTCAAATCTATTAATAATGCTGGGGCTATGAAGTTAACATATTGATTGGCTTCAAAAAGTGAGAACCAGATTCTGATCTAATTTGTCGTCAGTTCATTTTTTTCACACCTGCATTGACGCTCTTTAGGAAACAAAATCAATCGAGTGAAGTGATTTTTAAGATGGATTATACAAGAAGAAACAAAAAGGTGTAAATAGCATACTTCACAGTCAAGAGCTTACTAATGGCACTCATAACTAGCGAATGCCAGTAAACCATGAGCCCGTTCAGTATGCGAAATAGAGTGAAATGAAATAGAAGTGACTTTATGAATGAAAAACCTCACTCGTGCTTTTGATTGAAAATATGTGATAGAAAACTATAGTTGGTGTTAAGTAATGATAATACAAATGTAGGATGTTTTATATGCCTTGATTTTTGTGCTGGGATTGGTTCTACCAAGCTTAACTTCGTGTTTACATATCAGATTATAGAGCCAAGCCAGAACTACTCAGGTTCCATCTTCCCCATGAATATGCTCTGAACATCTATTAATAAACATAGGAAACACTAATCATGAGGTGTACTTTAATTAGACTTAGCTTCTACTGATATAATAATGCCCTCTTCCTAATGCAACATCTAACGCTACACTTAAATTTGTCACCGCATTCTGAACATAATCTAACTTAAGGATACCAAAAACAGGAGAGAAGTATATATTTTAGTTACTTAATTTCAGGTTCCCATTCATACAATGCGATATGGATTTTATTGACACGTGCTCATTCATCATATAACATACAAAGTTTTTACAATATCCTTAAATATCTTTTCTATTCACTGTCTCCTGCGTCGGTAATCTGAAGCAAGCCCCAACTTTGCTTGCTCTCTGAGAGGCTCTCCCTTTTATCATTTCTTCTCCAAGAGGCTACGCTTCTCTGATGCCTCTCCTCTTCCACCGCAGTCTTGTGTCCATGAGAAAATCGTCACCTTCTCAAATTCTCCTCAGTTTCTTGTATATGGATTTCATTCTAATGGGGAAAAGATTCCAGAAAGGTGTTTTGCCACACTTAGTTTATTTATTTATACTAGAATTCTGATCGATCATTCTGAATCTTGTATATTTAAACTTTCTGAGGTTCAACGAAATTGATTACTATATATGTTTGTGTTTGTTTGGGTGTGAACTGTGCTAGGGAGACTATGGCCTGTTCGTATGCTCCTTGAGGGTGTATGATACTGCGGTTGGGTCCAACTTCAAGCTGTGTTCCTTTGCAAAAGAAATCACTCAGACAGGGAGGCTGAAAAGATATGGAATACATGCTGGGTCATGGAAAGGTTTGGCAGAGTTATTTGAATGAGTGATGATGTGTCAGAAAAAATACACTTGGCAGTATTTGATTGGGAAAACTTTGACATTAAGTACAACAGAGGAAGTACCCAAGTTCCCCCAGGAAAGGATGCAAACTAGTTGAGACGAAAATTAAACGTAAGAATTATAACTTCTTGTGAGTAATTATGTACTTTTAGATACACATCAATGATATCAATGGAAATGGAGGATGGCATGGTCCTATAAATTTATGGGCATATTTTTGCTAATGTTACGCATATTTCATGAACGAGCCACTTGCATTAGGCATACTAGAGATAGAGATCACAGGATCTAACCAAACAATAGTAGACACTTATAGCACAATGAGGGAGTGCTTAAAGTTAAGGACTTCGCACCCAAACAATGCACGTGGTTGGCAATCTAAGGATGAGGTTTGCAACCCTTGAAAGATAAAACTCTTCTAATATATTTATATTATGCAACGCAAATTATTTTTAAAAAAAAGTAAATCAAACACCCGCTAAATTATAATCACTTATTTGTTTCTTTGAATATAAGTGGTAGACAAATCTCACGTAATTAGATCTCTTATCTCAATAATTATATTAGTCACTTGGATTCAAGGCCTCAAATAGAATTGCTATATACTTTCTTGCAACCTTGATCATAAAAAAGCTTCAACCCATCAAGAACATACCCATTAGTTTCACAATTGTGCTTTGGGCATATCCTGTTTGCTTGGTAAAGCCTTAATCTTGTTTTTATTTTTTTTTTATCACAAATAAGATCCTCATAGGAGGTTTCCCCTTTAATTCGTAAATCCTTTGCAGCGTCGAATTCAATCCAGTTGTAGTGGGATCCAACAATATAATACATACTGAGTTTTATTAGCTAACAAAATGGCATCTCTGAATCATCAAAATATTATTTTTATTCTCACTAACTAATTTTGAAATTAGGAGCAAAAAGTAAATAGTCAATATAGATGTGCTTTGGGTTAAAGTATGGACAAGTTTGGATTTTGAAGAGGACAACACGAAACAGAAACAAAGAGATCGAAGTTACCCGCACCTCTGGGAAAGCACTGAAATGGGGATGAGTTGGAATATAAGAGATGACCGGCATATTAAACTCTAGAATGGCACACTACTTTGAGGAAGTTACCGGAAAGATTTGATGTTCTCCCTCCTATCCTTAATATTAAGAACTAATTAACTAATTTAAATAGATTAAGAATACTAATTAAATTAGATAATATAATACTCCTCCGGTCCTAATTATAAGACCCAATTGACTTATTTGAGGAGATTAAGGAAGTAAGTTAAGTTGGTTATTTATAATAAATAAGTGTTGTCATTCCTAAAATATCCTTGCTAATTAAGTATATTGGCTAAAACTATCATTATTAGAAGGATTATCTTGGAAAAAAATGCATAAATATAAGAAACAAAATGGATTTGGTCTTATAATTAGGACCAAATAAAAAGTCAAATTGGGTCTTATAATAAGGACCGGAGGAGTATTTTTTTTCTAAAATATTTTAAGCATCTTACTTAATTCTCTTCTTTCCTCTCCTACTTGATTATTGGTGAAAGAATATCAATAGGGTCAATTTGAAAAAAAATTGATAAACATATGAATAAGTCTCGTATATAGGATCAACATTAATTTTCTAACGAACTCATATATTAAGGACCGGATGAGTATAAGGACAATAAGTAACAAAAGAAGAATTGTTAGTCATTCTGTTTATTGTATTGATTCCCAAGTCATGCGTATGAATAGTACACTGCATTCTCAAGTCCGGCTGCAGAATTAAAATCGCAAGACATAAAAGTAGAAGAGTAACCAGCAGAATAGCAGAGGAAAATGACGTATAGTAGGAAACAATCAGCCAAAACCTATTTTTCCCTACTACTAACTATTCCCAATTAAATAGCCAAAGCCTCCAACTGGTTCACGTGCTCTGCTGCTAGGTCTCAGTGGAGGTGAGTTTTGCTCATTCTCATGCTCTTCATGATTTTGCGCATCAATGCAATAGGGAGACAGGTGGCTTGAACGCAGTGCGGCAAGGCTCATAATGCCTCTTCTAGCCTCAGGCTTCAGTTTTTTTGGCATGGCTTTACAATCTTTGTCAATATTTTTAACCCCTTTGTGCATTATCCTTCGTAGTAAGGATGACTTCTACCTACTTAGACACCTAGTCTAGTGCCAACAAAATGCAGGTAAGACGGCAAAACGAAAGAAAAGGACCCATAAAATCCATATTACAAACGCCAAACAGTTCACATAATATTATGAGTTGCTCTTTTGTTCTCTTTTTCCAACAAACCTGACAACTAATCACGGCATGTCTCTCGGTTCCCTCCAATAAAAATATGAACATTATTCTTACCATTTCTTTCTTAGATCACGTATGCGAACATCCAATTTCATTCGGGCCAGAAGAAATATTAAATGTAAATAAAACAAATAAAAAAAATAAGAATAATAAAAGATCAATATAGTCTTTGATTTTTTCTTAAAAGCTAAATTTGAGAAATCCATCATGTAGCAAATAAAAAAAATTAAATAAGAACATCCTTTTTACAATAAATGAGAATAAAATAAAAGATAAAAATTAAAAGTCAATTGACCTCCAAATTGAGAAATACCGGACAAAGTCTTTAAAAAAAGAGAATAAGAAAATTGAAAAATCAAAATCTCTTATTTAAGATGATTGACTTCTCAATTTAAAAATATCTTTTGGGATCATAATTGTGAAAACTAAAAAATAAAAATAAAAATAAAAAATCATAATTTGATGACGATTTGGTATTTAAATAGGAAATTATATTATAAGTCATAATTAAGAAAAATTAAAAAAATATTTTAAAAAAATTATAAAACCCTGAGTGAAGCCTATAAATAGAAGAGTAAGGGTTGGAGAACATTCAAAATTTTTCGGTGAAAAAAGAAGGCAAGACAGAGAGCTCTCTATCATTTCATGACAATGACTTGGGTTGAGGAAAGAGAGATGAGGCCTAACTAAAAGAAAGTCCATTGTTCATCTTCTTCTTTCTTCTGCCCAGGGAGAGCCTATGCGCTTATAGTTATTATCATATTTTTGAGCTTGAACATTAATGGCTAGAGAGTTGGATCAAATATAATTTGAGTTAATTCTCACTACTCTCCTTCTCTTTGATTTGTTTGAAATACGCCTTCATTTATTATCCCCCATATGTACTCACTTTGATACTTTTTTTCCCTTTTTTATTTTTATTTTATTTTATTTATTTTATTTTTGTCCATGTCATTTTGCTAACATATGTATATAGTTTTTTTTATTAGCTTATAATATAATGTCTTCTCTATTTTTTTAGCCAATTGATAAGTAGAGTATTAAGTATGAATTTCCGTTCCTATCTCCTGTGTTTAATTTGAATTTCATAATAAAGTGTCTTTGAGTATTCTTTCTCTCTATCTTTGAAAGCACTTCTTTTTTTAAATCTGTACCGTATGAAGTTTTTAGAACCTCCACAGGTATCTAGATTTATTGGTAAACCGTGTGAGACTATGGGAGTCTTCACAGAAATACCAATGTGGTAGTGTAAATTTTCTTTTTGAAATTAAAAAAAGAAAAATAATTTTAGCCCCATGTTTATAAATAAATAATAAAATAAAAAAGTCTTTTTTAAATATGTATATATATAATCTCACAATATTTTTCAAAACCGTGTGAGGTTTTTAGAACCTCCATAGGCTCAAATAATTATTCTCTCCTGTAATGTATGTGAATCTTCGCAGATAGGATAATCCAAAATTTCTTTCAAAAAAAATATTTTCTAAATAAAAATACAAATTTTTTTCCTATATTAAAAAATACCAACCCACAAGAAAATCTTTTTTTATTGAATAAATATTTTCTAAAAAATACCAACCAAGTAACATGTATTTTTACTCCTAAATTACGAAATTTTGATCTCTGTGAAAGGTACATAGACCATAAGTTTTTATCCTAAGTCAAGTCTACATTTGTAAACAATTTATTTTTTTTGTAAATAAAATGTTTTCTTTGTTGCCATCTTAATTTTTTTTTGGGTAATTAAAACATACTAAAAAGGTTATATCAATTTTGAGTAGCTAACTTAGGGTAACTATTCTCTTAAACGGGTGTTGTGAGGTGCCTAACACCTTCTCTACACATAATCGGCTCCTGAGCCATATCTGATTTTTGTAGACCACTTTTTTTTTTTTAGGTTTCCAAAATTAACATTTTAAAATTCTGGTGGCGACTCCTCTTTTTTTTCCTGTTTACGGGGATGACCAAAAATAGGGTGTGACAGTTTGGCAACTTCACTTGAAAGATTGGAGAGTCAAACCCATTTAAATTTATTATTCAAAATGATATGGCCTTAATTATATTTTATTATCTTTCTTTTATTTGTTTATTTATTCTTTATCTATTTCTTGTATTTGCATATTATTTGCTTTTCATTTTTGTGTTTCTCATTTGTTTTTATTTACTTTGTGTTTATTTATTATGTGATCTGATTAGCAGATGAGGGACCCTGGTCTGTGAGTAACTTAATAAGCAGAAGTTTCTAATAGTTTTCCTGTGGGGTTTTCAAAATCCTCGGAGGTTACTGTGAAGACTTCATCTTAGTTGTTAGCTATTTAATGAAGTTAGTTCCTATGGGACTTTTGAGTTCTTAGATAGTCAACTTCATTCAATAAGGTCTTCATGTTTATGATGAGGGCAGCTAGGAGATCTTTGGTTGTGAGGATTAGAACAACCCTAAAATCAATGCACATATTAGAGGAAACTTAATGACCTACTCAATTAGTTAGTACATTCCTTTCTTAGAATAAATCTCTAGCCTAGGATTCTTCTTAAAATAGAATCATAAATGACATATTCTTTTTTTTTTTAATGCATCATCATTATTCATATATAATTAATGTAGCCCTAAGATTCAGGTGCGACACTGTATCTAAATCGATTCTTCTCATTTTAGGTATTATCCAAAAAAATCAAACTTTTTTTTATTTTTGATTATTCTCCTGATTCCACAAAATAATTCTTCTAAATTTGGTCTTTTATAAAATTTGAATGTAATAACAATACAATATAATTCATATGGTATCAGAGCTGATCGAATTTTTAATTAACTTTACAACTACTTGTTAAAAAGTAAAGAGACTCTGATACTACATACTGAGAAGTGCAAGATAATTAGAAAGAAACAATTAGGTAACAAGATTTTTATTTATTTATCAAAA